TTTTATTAATAGTGTTGGATTTAAATCAGATAATTTTTAATCAGATTCCACTGAAGGAATCCAATGGATGGGCTTTATTGGATTTATAGTGAAAATATTTTGGAGACAGAATTTGAATTAAATATGTATACATAGTGTGAGATGACCCAGAAAAATGAAAGCAAGTGGTTTATACACATAGCCACCTATTTTATGCTTTATTAATTTAATTTAAATGTCCTTGGGTGTTGGGAAGATAGAGATGTAAGCAACCCAAATATTTGCCTGGTGTTTCATTTGTTTGCTGTTTTGCAACACACTCTTGCTATGCATCTCTGGCTGGCCTGGAACTTGCTGCCATCCTCCTGTAATTTTGGAATTACACATATGTACCACCATACCTGACTTCTACTGGTGGTAGACTTCCTGGTGAGGAAACATACTGCATAGATCCAAACCCTGGTGCTAATCGTACCACCGTCTCCTCCTCCTCCACCATCATCATTACCACAGCCTCCCCTTCCTCCTCCCCCTCCTCCACTGCCACTGTCCTCACATCCACTGCCTCCCCCTCCTCCTCCATATTCTCCATCTCCTCCCCCTCCTCCTCCACCACTGCCACTGTCCTCACATCCACTGCCTCCTCCTCCTCCTCCTCCTCCATCCTTACCTCCACCACCATCTCACCACTACCTCCATCAAAGGTGAGCTTTGAGGTCTAAAAAGCCCACACCATTTCTCAGTTTCTCTTTCTGCCTTAGGCTTGTGGATCAGATGCAAGTTCTTGGCTACTGCTCACCCACTGCCATGTTCTTCACTGCGATGGCCACGGACTCTAACCCTCTGCTCACCAGCTGCCATGTTCTTCACTGCGATGGCCACGGACTCTAACCCTCTGCTCACCAGCTGCCATGTTCTTCACTGCGATGGCCACGGACTCTAACCCTCTGCTCACCTGCTGCCATGTTCTTCATTGCGATGGCCACGGACTCTAACCCTCTGCTCACCTGCTGCCATGTTCTTCACTGCGATGGCCACGGACTCTAACCCTCTGGGACCATGGGCCCCAAATTAAACTCTTTTATGAATTGCCTTGGTCATGATGTTTTGTCACACAATAGAAAAGTATCTCAGACATATGATATGCTCCTTATTTGTAGACAGCTGTCCTCTTTGTGTGTTCGAATGTAGTAGAAGGACAGATCAGTTCTCTGGGGGCTGTGATCTAAGGGCACAAATTCCACCCAGAGGGCCATGCCCTCCCCTTGACCGAATCATCTCCTGACAGCCTCACCTGCTAATGCTATCACATTTGAGTTGGGGTGTTAGTATACGGGCTTCCTACTGCTGCTGTTTTGAGACAGTCTTGCTTTATAATCCAGAATGGTTTGGAACTGTTGATCCTCCTGCCTCAGCTTCCTAAATTCTGGGATTGCAGGTATGGACCACCATAACTGGACATATATATGTTTTGTAGGAACACAAACATGCAGTCCTTGGAACAGTGACTTTTTTTTTTAATGTAGAAAAGCAATTTACTCCATTATAAGCATTTACATAGTTGGTCAAGGAGAGTAACCAGCCTGATGGTGAGATAAGTCAACCAAAATGGTTGCCAAAGACTACCCCTCCCCCCCAAAGAAACTCCTATCAAGGATTAATGTAATTTAAAAAATGAAATAAAGAGCCAGGCGTTGGAGCCGGGCGTTGGTGGCACACGCCTTTAATCCCAGCACTCGGGAGGCAGAGGCAGGCGGATCTCTGTGAGTCTGAGGCCAGCCTGGTCTACAAAGTGAGTTCCAGGACAGCCTCCAAAGCTACAGAGAAACCCTGTCTCAAAAAACCAAAAAATAAAAAATAAGAAATAAAAATGGTGCTGAGTGATGATGATTCACACTCCTAATCCCAGCACTCGGGAGATACAGGCAGAGATCTCTGTGAGTTCAAGGCCTGCCTGGTCTTTAAATGTAGGAATGGTAGACTTTTTGCCATCTAGGGGGTGATGAGGCAGGAGGATTGCCACAAGTTTTGGACAAGTTCTGTGCCAGCCTCCTGGGGTCACTGAGAACCTGTCCTGTTGGTTTTGAGCCATTTGGTCTGGAGGCATATGTGGGCATGAGTAGTATGAGAGGACCGGAATGTGTGGGGTGGGCACTGTGAGCACAGGAGAACCCCTGAGGTAGAGAGGAAAATACCTAAAAGGTTGGTTCATCCTCAGGAAAGGCGGAGGATGCAGTTTGGCAGCAAACAATCCTGGCAGGTGGGGGTGGAGCTTGGAATTATGATGTCAACTATTATAGAGAAATGCTTGACTCATCTTTCCTCACCCTCTTGGCCTTATTTCCAGGTCTCACGCCCTTTTTCTGACACTAGTAGGTTTTTCAGAACAGGAAGAAGAGTCAAAAAGAAAAAAAAAAGCAACTCCTCTTTCCACCTAGGCAGTGGGAGTTAGAATGATCTCTCTGCTGAGTCCCACAGGGCTGCTTCTCCCACGCAGCGCCAGTATGGAGTGAGGTTCTCCAAAGTCCTCTGAAGCCTAATTAACTCCCAATGTTCTGCAATCATTCCAGTCACGAGACATCTCAATCCAGAAGACATGGAGATCCTCCTCCAAGCCGGGGTCTGTAGAGGGTGCTGGAGAAGGAAGGGGCTGTTAGGGTTTCCTCCATCTGTCTGGCCATCCTTGGAAAGCTCTCGGCTATGTGGTCAGCTTCTGTCTCAACTGAAGGGTGAATTCTGGGTCACACGCAGTGTGAAGGGTATAGGCCCTGATCAGAACAGGCCTATTTTCCTCCTGACTTCCATTTCCCCCTCCTGTTTGCGGGTACTTTTTTGAGTGTAGCCACTGGTCTCTTGGTTAATACCAAGGAGGAAGTTCAGGAACTTACTGTAACTAATGTTTTGGAGTTGAAATCCCGAGTGAGAGCTAGGCGGTGGTGGCATACGACTTTAATCCCCGCACTAGGGAGGCAGAGACAGGTGGATTTCTGTGAATTTGAGACCAGCCTGGTCTACAAGAGCTAGTTCCAGGACAGCTTCCAAAGCCACAGAGAAACCCTGTCTCGAAAAACAAAAGAAAAAAAAAAAAAGAAAAAGAAATCCCGAGTGACACCATCAAATGCACATGGAGCCAAGAGACACTTCACACAGGGTCTCTGAAGCTAGCGATACTTCACAGACATGAAAGCATTACACAATGCAAAGGGATTGTGGTGATGGTCACAGTGGAGAAGTTGGAGAGAACCAGGATGCTGCCTATGACTCCATTCACTGTGTGCCAGCCTCTCTTCTATCATTCCACTGGGTCAAGACAATCTGTCAAGTGGGGGGGGGTGACACTATTATCTTTAGTTTATTTTAGAGACAAGGGTCTATTGTAGTCCAATCTGGCCTCAAATTGGGTCTATAGAGCGACTTTCTTTCTTTTTAAAAAATATTTATTTTATGTATATGAGCGACCTGTCTTCATGCACAGCAGAAGAGGGCATCAGATCTCATTTGTGAGCCACCATGTGGTTACTGGGAATTGAACTTGGGACCTCTGGAAGAGCAGCCAGTGTTCCCAACCACCGAACCATTTCTCCAGCGCTAGAGTGACTTTCAATTACTGATTTTTCCTGCTTCCATCTTCCGACTGCTAGGGCTCCAAAGATGTGTGCCACCGTGACCCGCTTTTGTCTTCCTGTTACATAGGAGAGAACAAGGACTTGCCCAGGGTTACATAGCAAGTGATAGACTGAGATTCAAGGTCAGGCTTCAGAACTGTCAAACTAAGTTGCCTCCTACATGTGTGTGCCATTGGAAGCCTTGGCATACCCTCTGAACACCTGACAAGAGCAATACAATCGCTTTCCTTAAAGACAGCTGTTACTGGCAGAGACTAACACACACACACACACACACACACACACACACACACACACACACACGCACGCACACTGCTCACCACATAGCTGTTTATTGTGAATACATCTGGGAAGGTAGGTCAGACATACCAGCTTTCTTCCCTTCCTAGCTCACTGCCCATTTTCTTCAACTCTTTCCAATATTTAGCTGTTCAGTATTTCTCAACCACCCACATTGACCTTTGTACATTTTCTGCTTGAATAAAGACCCATACATGAACTTCAAGGATGTGAACACTATATGGAGAGCAGTGCTGGACACTGGGTCCAGTAAAACTATCCCCTCCCCCCAGTACAGTGATAAACTCTCATTACTCCTTCGTCCATTTTGTCCTTACGAGTCCTGCCCCTGTCCTGTTTGTATGCCTGGCAGACTCTTGATTATGAAACCAAGTCCAAGGTGACCCATCCTTTAGGTCAACTGATCCTCCCTCCCCTTTTCTCCCTCTCCTCTTCTGCAAGCCCCCTTTCTTGTGGAGGAAGCTGGTAATTATCATTTCGTGGTGGTGTTGAGGCATAGAATTGATTTTTCTTAATTGGAACCGGGAGAATCTGTTAACTTTGTTTTACAGTATAATGGGGAGATCTTTCTCTCTTCCTCCCTCTTTCTTTTCTAATTTTTTAAATGCCTGGGACTGTGCTTCAGATGCTAAAAGGGCAAGATATTTGACTTTGGAGACTATTGGAAAATCAGGCAGAACTATGGACAAGAACGCACTGTTCTGTTGGTCTCAAGTTGGGAAAATGAACCAACTTTGGTTCGTATCGTGTACTAAATTACACTGACAAACACTGAGATCAGATGATTAAGCCGGCAGTCCCACGCAAGAGAGCTTGTCTCTTCCAGCCAGGGGCTTCGTCCGCGGCCGTTGTTTGGGCTAGAGATGACTTCAGCTTGGCTTTCGGAGTCCAGCCGGGGTCATCGCCCCCAGTCCTCACAGACGCCGCCTTCCGGGTCGGTGACCCTGGAGCCTGGGGGCGGGGCCGCGCCGGGTGGAAGCCGAGGAAGAGGCCGGCGTCCCGGGAGCGCGCGAGTCCTCCCGCGTGCGCGCGCCCGCCCGCCCACGCTCGCGCCCGCCAGCGCGCCCACGCCCGCCCGCCCCCCGGCCCGCGCTCCCGGGAAGTCTCGCGATGCGGTAGCCGGCTGCTCCTGCAGCGGGTGGCTCTGGCTGTTGCTGTGGTTGCCGGAGTTGCGGCGGCGGCTTCGGCGGCGGCGGCGGCGCTGGCGGGGGTGGCGGCCCCGGCGGATGTTGACATTGTGTTGTTGTTCCTGCCCACGGTAATGGCGGCGGCGGCGGCGGCGGACCAGGTCTCGTCAGTAGCCAGAGCCGACGCTGCCGAGCGCCAGTCCCGCGGCCTCCGCTCCCGCAGCCTCGCCAGCCGTTCCCCGCGGCCGCCCCAGAGCCAGGGCCCCGGGCGCGGGGCTCGCAGGCGCGGGATGGCGGATTTCGATGAGATCTACGAGGAGGAGGAGGACGAGGAGCGGGCCCTGGAGGAGCAGCTGCTGAAGTACTCGCCCGACCCGGTGGTGGTCCGCGGCTCCGGTCACGTCACCGTGTAAGGCCCTGCGAGGGCTAGGAGAGGACGGGAGGCGCGGGCTGGGTGGGCCCCGGTACCCCTCGGAGTCCTCCTTCCCTGAACCCTGCCCCCGGTGACTGGCGCGGGATGGGGGCCTTTCTGGAAACGCCGGGGACCAGGAAGTGAGAACTTGCTCTGTTGCCATTTGTTTAGGACTCCCAAGTGGGGACAGACACGGTCTTCCCTCCCTCCCACAGCCCTGTAGCAGGCCCCACGGCCCAGGGGATGTGTGGGATCCCAGCAGGGAAGATGGTCTGCTTTATGGGCCATTCCTTCAGCCTAGGGGTGGAAGTGCATGTATATATTTTAATGGGATCCACCTAGGTAAACCACCCCCTCCGCCGTTATTCTTTGGGACTGTGCCTCATAGTCTATTGACATATGGCTCAGAGGTAAGACCTGGGATGTAAGACCCTGCTGGCAATTGATAAAGAAGGTTTACCGTCGTGTTTGTCACACATACCCACAGGGCTTCTAAGTTCCCTAAGAGTACATTTCTGCAGAACTAATTTAACTCTCTGCCATTATACATCATAGCAATATATAGGTGGACATACACAGAGGCAGAAAGATACAGGTTTCCAACGAATCACAAGTCCTGAGTGTCCTCTAATCGTTCTGCTTTGGGGCACAGACTTAGGTTGGCTTCTTGCTTGATAAGGGTTCCTGTAAGGCTTATTGGCAGCATCAAAAGTCCGATATTATTCAGACATTACGGGATGAAAGCACCCTGAAAGGTCATGACTAATAAAGGAATGTGTAGACTTGAAGTAAATAATGAGCTGTCCGGAAGGAGGAAGTTTTATAAGTTTTGCAACATCTCCCTGCAAAGTCCCGGAGTTGGGGTATCGATACTCCTTCGCAGCTGGTATCTCTGGCTAAAAGTCACAGCTCACACTTCCTGTACTTGCATGTCCCTTTATCACTGATATAGGAAGGGGGCGGGTCTGAAGATGTCTGGAGCACTCTTCATTGTGTTTTGATGTAGGGTGAGTGGGATGTGCTGGGAATAAGTCAGTGAAACACAGACTTCTCATTCGACTCTCAGCAGAGCCCTTGCATTTCTCAGTGTGGTTGAGAGCAGTCATACTGACCAGCCATGTTGTTGTTTGGGATGCTTATGCAGTGCTTTGGTTTCTTAGCACCTGTTAAGTGTGTATTTAGGTGATTAAACAGGGTAAAAACACTGCATAATCATTGTCCCAGGACCTGGGATAAGGAGATGGGACTTGCACCATAATAACAGCTCTGTTGTAATTGTCATCACACACTTAATTAAGGAATATAGCCAATAATGAATAATACAACTTAAATGTGTATCTCAGTGTTTTTACTGTCATTTAACTTTTAGTTTGACTCTTAGGACGTTTTTCTTGTTTTTAACGTAAGGACTATGGGTGCTTTGAGAAGGTATTACCAACAATAAAACGGACACGGTGGCACTTGTCTAATACCAACACTCAAGAGGCAGAGAGGCAGGTGGATCTGTGAGTTACAGGCCAGCCAGGGCTATATAGAGAGACACGCTGGCTCAGAAGGGTTTCCAAACTTTTTCATGTTGTCTGTGGTCATCCTTAAAGTCCTCATGTCAAATGGGAGCTGGCAGAGTTTCATTACAAAGGGGCGAGCAAGAAACTCAGTGGTAGAGTACTTGCCCTGGGTTCAGAACAGCACAGCAGAAAGAAAGGTTCAAGTACAGGTGTAATGTCTCTTCAAGAAGAAAAGCCAAACACTTGGTTGGGAAGTAGAATAGACAAAGTGCTTAGATGGTCAGTAAATTTTGATTGTAGTTGACTATTTGAAGTGGTTAACAGAGTGGAAAATAATTACTAGTGTTTTTTTTGTTTTTTTTTTTTTTTTTTGAAACAGGGTTTCTCTGTATTGTTTTGGAGGCTGTCCTGGAACTAGCTCTATAGACCAGGCTGGCCTCGAACTCACAGAGATCCGCCTGCCTCTGCCTCCCGAGTGCTGGGATTAAAGGCGTGCGCCACCAACGCCCGGCAGTACTAGACTCTTTATCAGTGTTGTAAATGAGTACTGCTATTTGCAAGTCTAACAGTGATTCATTTAGTTTAGTTTGTCTGCTCATTAAAATCATCTGGGGAAGCCGGGCGTTGGTGGCGCACGCCTTTAATCCCAGCACTCGGGAGGCAGAGGCAGGCGGATCTCTGTGAGTTCGAGGCCAGCCTGGTCTACAGAGAGAGTTCTAGGACAGCCTCCAAAACAATACAGTGAAACCCTGTCTCGAAAAACCAAAAAACAAAACAAAACAACAACAACAAAAAAACCATGTAAGCATACTCCCCTTTTAGACGTTGGCTAAAGCATGATTTCCTTGTCACTTTGAAGGTAAATGGTATTACAGATTATAGTGTCATCTTTAATCCAGGTCAGACTCAAAAGATTCAGATCTTCCTGTATGCTTGCTTTTGCAGTTGAGTATTCTAATTGTAAAAAATTGTTTATATATTTTTATTTTGTGTGCATTGATTTACTTGCATGTATGTTTTTGTGAGGGTGTCAGGTCCCCTGGAACTGGAGTTATAGATAGTTGTGAGCTGCCAAATGGGTGCTGGGAATTGAACCCAGGTCTTTTGTAGAGCAGCCAATTCTCTTAACTGCTGAGCCGTCTCTCCAGCCTGTTTCTAAGTTTTTTTAAGTCCACTATTCTTATTTTAGGAATCTTTATTTTCTTACGATACATTGTTTCTTGATATTTTAGATGAATAGTATTTTTTTCATTGTTATATCAGCATGTAGCATTTAAAAATATTGTGTAGACTCAATGTTTTGAAGGAAAATCATATGGGAAAAGAAAATGACAAATTCCCATGGTTTCATAGTAATCACATACATACAACTTGGAAGACTTGAATTACAAAAGTAGATTTTCTTTGACTTCTCATCATGTAATGAAAATAAGAAAAGTGACCAACATACTAGTGTTGGTTAGACCATTAATACCACTTTTTTTATTTGAAGGACGTAAGAATGTTTATTTCTCTAATAAAGGAAAACACTGACATGACTGATTGGTATTTGCGTACAACTTTTTTCTCACATTCATAGCTAAACAGATTGGCAAGTCCAGAGGAACCACTCTGACCATTACATGGCACACCACACTGTACGTTAGTATTTACAGTTTATTCCAACCCATTTCTTTTATACTCTGAAGCACCTTCATTATGTTGCTTGATGGGACAGAACCACAGGAAATTATACAGGAAAGCAATGGTGCCCAAAGTCAGCTAATTTCCAGCCAATCAGGGTTAGTAGTTGGTGGCCTCTCTGATCATGTTGAAGGGCAGCTCTGGAGCCTGGTAGGGTCCAGAGGCTGGACCGACACTGTGAAAGGGACATGCAAATTGTGTAGGTCCCTGGATGACGCTGGTTTATATTCTTTATCTCAGAATAAGATATATTGCTAATTAGAGGCTTATTATTTCCTTTTTGTGCATGTCTGTGGGCACATGTGCTCTTGTGAAAGTGAGGCTACCCTCACTGTGGGCCCTTGCCAAGCTTAGCAGCAAGCACCTTTGCCCGCTGAGCCATCTTTGCAGCCCAACTTTGATTTATCATAAGGATGATAACTCTTTTTGTTTGTTTGTTTGTTTGTTGGTTTCTCTGTGTAACATCCCTGGCTGTGCTGAAACTTGCTCTGTAGTCCAGGCTGGCCCTGAACTTAACAGAGATCCGCCTGCCTCTGCCTCCCAAGTGCTGGGATCAAAGGTGTGCGCCACCACCCTCTGGCTAGGATGATAGCTTTTATGGAATGTTTTTGTATGAAAGCATCTTTAAAAGTTGAGGAAAAGAATTTAAAAGGTAATTCAGTTTTATTAGCTGGGTAACCTAACATTATTATCATGTCTTATTCCATACTTGTTCTATATCTGAATTAAACTTGAGGCTTTCCTAGAGTGGGCATCCCTTGATTTCTAACTTAAGTTGTCATTTATTTGTTAAGAAGTAAGAAGTTAGGCGTGGTGCACAGGCCTTTAATCAGGCAGAGGTCAACACAGATCTCTGAGTTTGAGGCCAGGCTGGTCTATATAGCGAGTTCCAGGCCATCCAGGGCTACATAGAGAAATCCGGTCTTATAAAAAGAAGAAAGAAAATAAACGTCAACAAAATAAATTATACAGGAAATTAGTTTGATGGAGGATATGAAGGGAAAGAAAAGCTAAGTTTTAATAGGACAGCTACCAAGTTTTAATGGGTAAACAGATTTTCTTGAAGAAATGAGAATTAGAGTCGGCTAGTGACTCAGTGAGTAAAAACTGTTCTTGCACAAGCCTGCCAACTGGAATTGATCCCTGGATCCCTGGAATCATGCAAAGATGGAAGAGGAGAACCGAGGCCACAAACTTGTCTTCTTACCCCACACATGCACTGTGGCATGCCCTTCCCCCATAAAAATAAAACAAATGAGAAATACGGTGATGAGTTGAGGTTCCAAAGTTTTACTGTAGTTGAGCTTGAAAATTTTCATATGATTTGAATTCAGAGTTTGAAGTTAGATTTGTGCTTACTCAGATGTGAAATTGACTAATAATTTTTATATAACTGGCTAAGAAGAATACAGGGACTAAATGATGAAAAGTAAATTGTGCCAACTTATTTATGTTGATAGGTAGTATTCTAGGCAATAACTTAAACAATACTGCTCAAAAGATGTATTTCTTAATTTGAGAGACTCCTTGAGTTTATATTGTTACTAGGTTACAGGCCCTGAGCTTAGCATGAGACCTGCTTTATACTCAGGAGTCTTTTAATTCAGGTGTAGTGACTATGCATGTAATCCCAGTGGGGGCAGGAAGACCATTGAGAGTTTGAAGCTAGCCTGGATTAGGTATGGCTCAGGGGGGGAAAAAGGTTAAAATAGCCAGCCGTATCTTGGCTAGTTTAGGTTGTGTGTTGTCTGTCCCAGTCCTGTCCCCCATCCCCCCCCCCTTTGTAGCCTACTCTGACTTGAAGCT